AAGCTTGATCTGACGGCCAGCTCTGGTCTGTACGCCCTCGCGGAATACACTTGGACGAGATGTTGGCGGTGACAGTGACATACAGGCCGGTGTTGCAGGTGATGCTGTCGTCTCCGGTGAAGCTGCAGGAGACAACGGCAATGTGAGCGCAGTTACCGGAGCTTCGGGCCTGGATGTTGCGCTGCTCGCTGACGGAAGGCTTGTTGGGTCGGACACTGGCAGTGCTGGAGCACACACTGGCTCTGGCACATGCTCCCTCTCTGACTGTGCCAGAGGTTCACTCACGGGTGCTTTCTCCGCTGCTGCTGCTGCTGGTGCTACAAACTCGGTAACATGCTGACGGTTCCGGAGCAGTATGCGTGACCCATCAGTGACCCCAACCTGACGACCATACTGCTCTACTACCTTCCATTCTTTTCGAGGGTCGCTGTACCCATCATGGAGCACTACCCGCGTACCTGATGGCAAATGGGGTAACTTGCGGACACCTCGGCGTGAGTCATGACCTTCAACCATTGCTGCTTTCGCCTTGATCTGCTCAGATGGGTTGACGATCTGTGGGGTGATGGATGCTGGAACCCGTGTCCGAATGACTCTGCTGAACAACGCTTCGCTCGGCGATGTACCTAGCATCCGGTGCCGCGAATTGCGAATGTCGAACAAGACTTGAGTGATGCGGCGGTGTAGCGGTAGATGAGGTCTCAGGCTGGCAACTCGTTCTTTCACCAGACGATGTAGTCGCTCCACCATACCGTTAGAGCGGGCATACCGGGGGCTAGACTTGCAATGCTCAACACCCAACTGAGCGAGAAACTTGGACATCTCAGTGGATGCAAACTGTGGGCCCCAATCCGAGACGAGTGTTGAAGGCAGACCAAACCGTGCGAACAACTCCATCAGCTTGTCGATCACACCCGTTGTCGTAGTATTGGACAGTGGTAGAAGCTCTGGCCAGCGGGAACCATAATCAATAGCAGACAGGAACGTGGCTCCCTCAATGGTAACAAGGTCAATGGCCAGTTTCTGCCAGACACCTTCTATCTCTGTAGGGAGGAGCTGTTGCGCTGGATTGGAGCGTTTACGCCAGCATTCAGAGCATTTCTCTGCAAACAGATTGGCATCCTTCATGAGACCTGGCCACCAAACCCGTTCGCGAAGGGTATCCCGGAATGCATCGATGCCTGGATGACCTTCATGTGCTAGTCGCAGCACCGCTGGGCGGAGCTCTTCTGGAATGACGTAGCGATTGTCTAGCATGACAATCCCTTCAATGACTGTCAGCTGATGGCGTAGCAGGAAGTAAGGCTCTTCCGTTTGGATGCACCCTGACCAAACTGATGTGCCCACTCTTTGTCGGACGCTGCTCAGTGTCGGATCAGAGTCCGTGGCCTGGCGAATATCCTTGGAACGAACCGGACACGCCTCGAGAATGAGACTAACGAATTCCGCCATTGAACGTGCCTCTGCAGGTGAAGCTGTGCGATCAGGTAGAGGAGCTCGAGAGAGGGTGTCAGCACAAACCATCTGCTGGCCAGGGACGAACACCAAGCTGTAGCGATAGGGCATCAATGCGACCAGCCATCTCTGAAGCCTCGGTGGCACTTCGTCGAACGGCTTCTGGACGATAGAAATAAGCGGCTTGTGATCCGTAAACACTTGCACTTCTCGGCCTAGTACATACTGCCGAAAGCGAGTCAGGCCGAATACCACTCCCAGCATCTCTCGTTCCAGCTGAGAATAGCGTGACTCAACATCTGATAGAGAGCGACTGGCACATGTCACTGGTACCCAACAGCCACTGGTATTCTTCTGCCACAGGACTGCTCCCAAACCGTCTGGCGATGCATCACAGCTGATAGCAGTAGGGACGTCCAATGCTGGTTGAAAGAATGCCAACGCTTGCAAAGCTGACGCTATACCAGCCTTTGCTGAGGTGAATGCCTGCAGGACTTCATCATCCACACTGAAGGGATCACGCTTTGCTAGCCTGCGCAGAGAAGCCGTGATCTGGGCCAAGTTCGGAATGAACTTTCCAAGGTACGTAGCCATCCCCAGGAACCGTCGCACATCAGAGATAGATTTCGGAGGGGCCAGCTCCTGGATGGCTTGTAACTTGTCATCATCTGGGGACAAGCCGGTCGCACTTAGCCAATGTCCCAGATACTTCACACGGTCCTGGTTCAGTCGGCACTTGGTCCAGTTGAGTTGGAGGTTAGCTGCTCGCAGTCGCTGCTTGACTGCTTCTAGCCGTGCATCGTGTTCTGCTTGATTGGAGCCAAACACTAGGATGTCGTCGATGTAGACGATGACTCCTGGCAGGCCTTCCAGAATGTCGGACACCACTCGCTGGAAAATCTCAGGCGCACATGCAATACCGAAAGGTAAACGCTTGAAACGGAACAGGCCACAGTGCGATGAGAAAGTCGTTAGAGGCCTTGCTTCTTCTGACAAGAGTAGCTGATGGAATCCAGATTCCGCATCCAGAACTGAGAAGACCCCTGCGCCATCAAGCTGAGCTGTGATCTCGTCAACGGTTGGAAGAACGTTGCGCTCACGTGTAACTCTCTTATTCAGTTCTCTGTAGTCCACGCATAGTCGCAATGCTCCATTCGGTTTGCGGACTGGAACAAGTGGTGACACCCACGGCGTGGCTTCCTTGACGGGTTCAATGATATCCAACTTGGTCAGCCGTTTCAGCTCGGTCTCGATGTCAGCCCGGATACTGAAAGCTGGGCGTCGTGGTGGCTGGGCTAGAGGCTTTGAACCGTCTTCCAGAGAGATTTCGATGGGTGACACGTTCACCACGTTTGCTTGTGACAGGAGGTTCAGCTCCTTGATGACATCCTGTCCGAAGAGAACGGAGTGCTGACTGGCTGCTACCACGAAACAACTGCACTTCACGTTCTTGCCACCATGTGAAATGTGGACGTCAGCCATGCCCAAAGTCTCTACGACACCGCCATTGTACGCTTTCAGCAAGCGGTCACTCTTGCGCGTGGGCTTGATCACATCATCAGTGAGGATCGTCCGAGTTGCACCTGTGTCTAACAGTCCAGTGCACAGCTCACCATTGACTTTGAGTGTAGTCTGGAATGTCTTGTCGCCTGCGAGTGCCGAGCTACTGACGGCGAAAGCGGAGTCGTACATGCGACTTGCATGCTCATACTCATCAGGCTCATCCTCTACTGGCCGGGCTCTTTCTTCGTGTCTTTCCACTTTGTTTGACATGCAGACCACTGCAAAATGCCCTCGCTTGCCACACTTGTTGCAGGTGACGTTGGCCGCAGGACAGTTACGCATGCCTGGTTTGTGACTCCGTCCGCAGTATTTGCACTTCTTTCCCTCTGATCCAGAACCAGCTGCAGAGACAGCTTGCACACGCTGGATGGGCACGGGGAACACAGGCGGTGCGTCACTAGCTCTGGTACTATCGTACAGTTTACTGTCAGTAATCGACGCTTCCAACGCCACTGACTTGGTGACGGCGTCGTTCAGGGTCAGCTTCGACTGTTTCAGCAGCTCCTTTCGAAGCTCAACAGAACGCAGGCCCACGATCAGCTGGTCTCGAATTTGGCAGTTGACAATGGTATCCACAGAAGTGGAGCTGAATTCGCAAACATCTGCCTTTTCTCTCAGCCGCCCAACGAACAAAGTCACCGACTCGCCCTCCATTTGGCGGAGTTGGCGGAATTTGTGACGTTCAGACGTGACATTTGTTGACGGTCGAAAGTGTGCCAACAATGCGTCCGTCAAGGCTTGGTACTCATCTCCAGGTGAGCCATCTTGTGTCTGCTCCACCGTGACAACCAGACCTTTCACAATGCGCCTCACTGCTAATCCAGCCAGATTCAAGAACAAGCGTTTCTTGTCAGCTGCTGCCGTCACTTCACTGATTGAAAGGAAATCATTTATGTCCTCGAGCCAGAGTTCAAAATCAGCACCGACGTTGCTCGCAGCATAGTCAGGAATAAATTCCTTGGGCGTCCTGCCCTTTGTCATTTTCGTTCACTGCGCCAATGTAGACATCTATTCAGTCACTCACAAGACAGCCATTGTGCTAAACAGATCTTCTTTAGTTCTCTATCAGAAGTGCGCCATGTCATCTCTCTCGTGCCATACATAAAGCGGTACAAGCACGGCATGCCTGCACGTGCGTACATAGTACTACATACAACTGCATGTACGATATCTACAACTGTTAACAACGGTTAACTCCTACGTTAACCGAACATTTTTCTATTACACGATCACTGGACTGCTTCTGAAAGGAGGACCAAGCTTGCTATGAACGCCCGCACATGGTGCTTGGCATTTCTTGTCGATTGCGTTCCTTGCCTTTTCGAATGGATGGCTTAAAACCAAGCAGCTCACGTTGACTGTCTTGCGCTTCCTTTCGACCGTTTTTTGTCAAGTACTTTTGACTCCCTGTTTCCAGAAATTGTGTCCTGACGACGTAATAGTTTGTGTTAGCCGACGTGTAGCTAGCGAAGGTGAAAAAACGCTACATATATTACACTCATTATAATTATGCTTTTAAGTGGTCAAGTGCCATGCATAGAACTTCACTCAATCCCCTCTATTTTGTCTCAATGTTGCCCGGCATAAGCTGCCTGAAGAAATCCGCTGCCTGACATCCGCTAGCCGATTTCTGTTTCTGTGCGTGGACACTATCTGCACCACAAGTATTCTGTGCAAGATTTACCAAATTTTGCAAGTAGCTTCTGCTGTTCCTGTTAGTATTATTTTTATTTTTTCACCATGTCATGTCCCTTCTTCCCTCTCTCATGACAGCCACCTTCACTTCCTTTCCCCAGGAGACTCCCTTTCATAGGCATCCGTTTGCCCCTGGAGAATCCTTGAAAATATAATATCAATAGAACAGTCACATGGGATACGCATAGTGATGCCCTCGCACTCGCGCAGTACCGGCTCTGATACTTCCCTTGTGCCCGGGACACACAAGCACACAAATGTGAAGGCATTGTCAACTGCGCACTTACAGGGTCAATGGAAGAAAAGACTATGATGGGGTATCCTGGGCCTTGGTCACTAGGTTGAAATGGGTTGTAGCTAGCTGCAGTGCTGCCTTCACCTGCACGTCGCCTATTCTCATTGTCAGGCTGCTCTGAGTGGTCCTGGCTGGAGGTGATATCATCCAGGGATGATTTCGTTCTAGAAACCGGCAGGTAACAGTACTCCAGATTGCTTGTAGTGCAGAGGGATTGAGAACACGAATCCAGAATGGACTGGCTTGCAGAGGAGGAAGCGGATTGGGTAGAATCCTCCAGTTGGCTTGCGTTCTGCAAGGTTGACTCCTCCTTTGCATCATCCTTTTTGCTGCTCGCAACTGTGCAATCTTCCTCATTGATCAGTGCTTGGAAGAGGTGTGTGATCTGCTCAACCGTGCCAAGCACTTTGTAGTTGTCTGGAATGCAGTGCTGCGTTAGCTCCTGGACAGGGTGCAAGAGAGTAAAAAAAGTTGCCAGAAACAGATAATAATTATGAGAATATGAACAGACGTGTACTGTAAATACTGGGTGTTCCCCAAATACAACCTTGCAACCACTTAAAACAGTTACTTAGACCGGGTCTCATGTTCCTTATATGAACGAATCCTTCCATTTTCAAGACAGACTTTACTGCTAGTTATAGCAGCGACGAGGAAGATGGAAGCGACGATGATGGAAGCGACGAGGAAGATGTTGCACGAAGGAAACAATTAGCAACGGCAGCCTTCAGAGCGCTATTCACGGTATGGTGTCGTCGATCGATCATCAGCGAAAGTCTACGGCTAAGGCTTTACAACGCGTTTATCATCCCTGTGCTAACGTACAATGGAGGCACCTGGGGACTGATGGCTTCAGCATGGGAGCGTCTGGACACATTCCATAGAAGACAACTTCGGAGTCTCCTGGGTATCCGCTGGCCGCAGGTGATTCCAAACAAAGCCCTGTACGGCAGATGCCACGCAGAGCCCAGCAGTGCCCTCATGCGGCGATCCAGATGGGGCCTGTTTGGGCATATCCTCAGACTCCCTCAAGACACGCCTGCCGCTCTCGCTATGCGGAGTTACTTCACCTGTGGGGACAAGGTATGGCGAGGGTGGCCACGGACAACCATCGTGTCCACACTATCCGCGGACCTGGAATCAGCAGGACTGGGGAGTCTGAGGAACTTGGCAGACCTGGAGCACCTGTGGGCCATCGCCGCTGGCAGGCCTGCGTGGCGCGAGCTGTGCCAGGATGTACGCAGTAATTAACGGATGGGACAGAGGCTTTGTACAGATCCCGTGCATTTAGCACTTACCATCGACCATGAGTTACAAACCTATCGTCGTTGTCTGTTATTCTTGTTTTATTTTTTGATCTTTCGAATAGATCCCGTGCATTGAGCACCTATCATCGAACATGAGTTATGTGCCTATCGCCTGCCGTCTTACATTTATTTTTTACTTTTATTTATTTTTGTTTTCCTCCCTGCCCACTCTGCCTGTCTTCTGGCACATGCGAATACGTGGACTTACTGTTGACGTAAACGCGGACGTGCGTATAATAATAATAATATAGCCAATAAAATAATAGCAGTTCTCATGAATATCCGCCTCGCCGTTATCCAACCGTGACAAGCCAATTTCACAGAGTGGAGTACACCATAAAGTGGACTCGGTACTTGGACAAACACAGAAATTACACGACAAAGGCCCGGAAATGGGGGTGCGATGTATAACAGAATACAACTTATAATTGGGGAAATGCGGTACATTACCAAATAGTGGTAGCGACCTCGGCAAAAAATTTATAAGGAAGTTTGGTTTCTCCCACACTGGAGCTCGCGGGAAAGCGCGAGCTCCAGTGTGGGAGCAACCAAACTTCCTTATATAAGCGGTACATGTTCATAATAATAGGTCTACCTTTGCCGAAGCTTGCACGCCGCAAGTTTGGCTGACTGCGTCTCCAACTGTTACTCTGCACACGTTGTCATCGAGGTCAGTTTCAGTCGAAGATGATGAACTTGTTATCCCACCTTGGACGGACATCATAAAGGGAACCTGGTGACAGATAATAGTTCACCAGTGCAGATAAAGAATATTATAATACGCACACACGCACACGCACGCGCGTGCACGCGCGCGCACACACACAGGCAGGTAGGCACGCAGGCACGCACGCAGGCACGCACGCACGCAGGCACGCACGCACGCACGCACGCCAACTCGCACGCACGCACACACACACGCACAGAAATGTATAGCATCATACCTGCAGTTCTAAGTTCCTAACTATACATTGCAAAAGGATCTCAGTCGGAGTATTTGTCGCTCCCCAGGCACGACTTCACCTCGAAACTTTTTTTAATTGCTCCAGCAGTTGAGGCACAAGGCGTCACAGTTGTCACAGGCTGAGCTCAGTCGCAGTGGCCTCACAACTCAAACCTGCAGCATGCACATCTCCAAATCCGCATTACCGATTTGAGCAGAGTAAAGCGAGGTTCACAGAAGCTTTTTTGCGATGCGACGCGCGATGCGACTGCCGCGAAACCGGGAAATCCCCAAATCGCAGCCATCTCGCACCCCACGCACCTGCCGCAACTGGGCCATCGCAGAATTTAAGCTTGGCTCAACCTTTGCGATGCGACAAGCGATTTGGCGTAAGATTTTGACCTTTTCTACAGCAAAGTTGTACAAAGGTTCAAAATTGCCTATCAATTTGTACAAGTTGTACCAAACCGCGCGAATATCATGGTGACGTACCCAAATCAGCAAGACTTTGTCGCATCGCCGACTTTTTCTGTGAATGGTATTTCGCGAGTTCGCATTGCACGCGTCCATCGCAGATCCCGTCGCATCGCGTGTCGCATCACAAAAAAGCTTCTGTGAATCTCGCTTAAAAGAAATGCACCAAAAAAGAACAGGAAAAGTGGGAAACCAACAACAGCAACCTCAGAGCAAAGAAAAAAGTCTACACACTAACTTACCGTGGCAACACACTGATGGCATGTTGGATCACAATCTGACGAGCTGCTCCCATCGTTACTGTCAGCACCGCCATGGTTGCTCACATTGATATCAGCTCCTGTAGCAATGGCCATGTTGCAGTGAGATATTCCAGCCTGCATTCCACCAGGCAGGGCTCTGTAGCAGGATGATGCGTTGCTTGCTCCTGCTGGTGCACTACTTCCACGTGTTCCTGATCCACTGGTTGCAGTGTTCGGATCTCGCGTGGGAACTGAGCTTTTTGACCCAGGGCCTGCCCGTTGTTCCAACGCAGTGAGCGTGATTTGGCCAATGGCCGGACATGATTTGCGACCCATTTGGCAAACCAGCGTGACTTCAAACACTTCCTCATTACAGCCAATGCCATCTGCAGAGCAATTAATGAAAGATATTTATATCACTCCAGATCTTCGTTGGTCGTCTTTAGTTCAATTTTTCACCCTGAGTGCAGGCAAGAATTTGATGATTAAGTACTGTAAACGGGGTGTAAGCGACCTCTGGTTTTAGCGACCACCTGCTTTCAGTTAACGACTGTCTTCCCATGCACGGGCAGTTCTACACAGAAACTGCACCGGACACAGGGACCACCTGCCTTGCACGACCAGCGCCTCACTATTAGTGTACCAAATGCCATATTGGACCTGCACACAGCGACCAAAACTATCCAAAAGTACCATATGGGCTGCCGGGGTTGACTGCAACAGGGTTGAAGTGCGCTCTGAACCAAGTGCATGCAGTGAACAGAAGTGACAAGTGACAGTGCAGGATGCACTGCATGTACTTGAGTGAGGTGTGCTTTGCCCACACGAAAGTATTCTATGCTCCACAAATGTCAATATGATGCCGCTTGTTGCGGTGAATTTTCAATGGCTACAGGTCGGCGCGTGAAAATGTGTTGAGTTGTGACAGGATCCCGCTTGGCACAGGGTTCGCTAAACACAGGTTTTACTGTAACGGTTCAGACTAGGTATTGTGCAGGTGGCGGCAATGAAAGTTTGATAGCAACAGTCGTGTGGGATACGATAGAGGACGATAAAATTTGAACGCCTAGCAAGTGCCCACCACAGCAACACAGCAGGGGCGTACCTGGTCCCCCCTCCTTTAAGGGGGTGCACGGCCGCATCATGAACATGTATGTGTAGGATGGCTGGTGCATGCCATTCATGGTCATAATGTGCATGCTGAACACGCATGTAGGTCGAAATGTTTGGGGGGGGGGGGTGCTTGTGCCCCGTGCCCCATGCGAGCTATGCGCCTGAGACAGCGTGTCTTCTTAGTAAGTTCTTACCCTTTGGTATGCTTGGCACTAGTGCTGTGAGAATGTGAGTGTGCCTGGAAAACTCAGCTGCTTGACTCCTCACAGTGCGCCTTGTGGACGTCAGTTGAAAGTAAAGGGTATGACATTGCGACGCACAGTCTGGGATAAACCTGTTGAAGTGTGCCTTCACATGGAATTGTCGCTGAAAGTCAAGAACACGCAGAAAACACTGAAAACGGTGATGTGTGCAGCACGCGTAAGCTCTCCGGCATCGGGTACTACTGTGTGACATTGCTGCCGCCACAGCCCACACAGAGCATTACCAGGGTTGTTTTTTTAGTACAGGGTGTACTCACCGAAAGAAATATGGCTGCCAGATAAAGGCCAATTAAGTGCTGGTCCCATAGAAAACCTATCCACGTACTGCATAGACACTATATCATTCTTGGTATATGCCGCTAGGAATGCTATATGCATGCATGAGAGTATCGCCTAGGCACGTGCGCAGTTCGGCCCCATAGCTGCGCAGGCAGCGACGGTCAAAGCGGGATTCACAGAAGCATTTTTGCGATGGGATGAGACAGCCGCGAAACCGGGAAATCCCCAAATCGCATCCGTCGCTCAGCTCACGCAAATGTCGCAAATGGATGATTACAGAAGTCGAACGTGGCTCCACTTCCGCTCTGCCACCTGCAATGCGATGTGCGATTTGGACCTTCTTTGCACCAAAGTTGTACCGACGGTTCAAGAGTTGCTTGCAGATTTGTAAAAAGCTGTACTTAGCCACGGGGATGCCATGGTGACGTACCAACCTCCAATGAGCTTGAGACACATCAGCAACAGGCGACGTCACATCGGTGACTTCGTCTGTGAATGGTATTTTGCCGGTTTGCATGGCGCTGTGGTGTTGTGGATCGCGTCGATCGTGCATCGCATGGCAAAAAAAGCTCGAGTGAACCCGCTTCAAAAAGAGATATCATCCGGTACTGCCTTCGTGCAAGCAAAATATTTCATTATTTTTACCATGTCCCATGTGATCACTATACTTGACCCCTCTATATACATCTCTAGAAGTTTACTATCACAGTATACCTGACGTATTTGGGTAGAAAGAAGGGTCAGTTCAAAGGTCAAATTCAATGCAGTATAGCAATACTGCGCAGGACAAACGGGGTTTCCCCGTGCAGTATCGAAAATACTGCATACGCTGCGAAATCATGTCATTGTTTGGCTCCATATATGACGAAAATCGCGCAGAGAATAGCAAATTAATGGTGATTCACTTCATGGCAGCATCGCCCTTGTACTTACATTGAATCTTTCTTTGCCTGGCGTGAGGGTAACATGCTCTGAAATAGTGAAAGAAGAAAGCACGCAAGCACAATCATGTGCTATCAATGAGACGTAGAATTACATGTACATGTGGGAATAAAAGGATTGTTCTTGGTGACCTCGCAAGTACCAGAATTTTTTTTCGTAGTGAGCCCCTGAGAGAGAAATTGTTGGTACATACAGAACATCCATGGGGGTATCATCCCAGATTGAAACTGTGGTGACTCCATCACATATGCACTCGGTAAGCAGGGACTCAAGACTACAAACTTACCAATTTCTTCAGGCTTGATGATTCTACCAATGAAACTCCTGACTCCAGCCGAGGTTTGAGTAGCTTCGGCACTCATTGCCTCTGCTTGTGTGGTGGTCGGGACAGGCGCTGACAGCAGTGGTCTCTGATTTGGGTGTCCCTTCAGGAGTGTAGCAAGACAAAGACAGAAGAGAACGGGGTTTGCAAAGATAAGATTATATTGCTATCACCCAAGTGATCATGGTGTTACTTGTATTGGCACATTTATGGTAGGCCTTGGGACTGTGGGGATGGCCATATTAAAATTTTAATTTATAGAAAAGAAAAGGACCAAGGAACTACAAGTTACGATATAATGTCCACTAACACCACCAGGTACTAAACAATCAGCTCATGCGATAACATTGCACGACACCGACCGACGGTACTGACGTTCTACAACTAACTGGCCATCAGCTCTAGCTGTAGAACGTTAGTACCGACGGTCAGTGTCGTGCAATGTTATCGCAAGAGTGGATTGTTTAGTAACTGGTGGTGCTAGTGGACATTATAGTGTAACTTGTACTTGGTGCGCCCAGTTACAATTGGCGCTTATCTTCACACTTGTCTCAGGAAGGAAATACGAATATCTGAAGCAAGCAACGATCACAAAGCACTATGTACATGATTATTCACCTGTCATTACGCAACTCAGTCGAAAATTCAAGCAAGTTACACATCCTCCTCGCCACTATCGTCGCTGGAGGAAGAGCTCAAAAAGTTCGATCCGGACAGCTGCTGCACATTTCATAGCTTGTTCCACTTCTCCTCGTCTCGAATCACGCTCAAAGGCAGTGCGTGCCTGACACCTTGCCGATCAGAAGCTGAGTGAGACTGCCCGCATGTTGGCTGTCAGTGTTATCCCCGTTCGTAGCAATAATGCGACTTTGTTTGAGACAAAAAGGCAACGCCATATCAGTGTCCTTTTTCAAATCGCCTCTTGCGCTTGTCGTACTTGCTGATCAGCACCCACGCGAGCCGCTGGTGCTTGTACATGCAGCGCAGTGATAGCTTCCACTTGATGTAGCACCTGTGCGTACTGTGCCTACAAGTCAGTCCTAACGCCGTGCACCAGACTTTTCGGCTAGTTTCCTGAAAGTCCTTTGCACGAGTGTTTCCCTCAAGACTTGGTGTTTATTTTGATTAGCTCCTTTGCCTTGTCCTCTGTGAGCTTCAAAGTGTGTCCACCGGATTGGTCTCACTTTCTGGAGATGTGGACTTGAGCTGCAGTCTCTTCGTCAGCGATTTGCTGGTGATAGCCCTTCACTAGTCACTGTACTGTGCAAGCACTGAAATTCAAGCTCACGAAGCGCTTTTTCAGCTTTTCTATATTTCCCCGGGGTAAACAATCCTTGTCATCAGACAGCTGGAAGTAGACAGAAACTGTATTCTGCATCGCTCTGGAATGCGAACATCCTGACCTATATTACGGACTCGAGCGGAGGTTGCAGTGTTTTCTTGCGCTGACGGAAGTGTTCGTCGGCGGCAGCTCCGTCAAAAAGACTCAAACGAACCGATTGCAACTTTTGTGATGGTTCAACAGTGCTGGCATGTCTTCGGATGCAATGGTCATTGGTTATGTTCGGATGGTGAATCGGTGGTTCCATGCCGTGTGACACAGGCAGAACACCGGAAACCAAGTGAGAAGATAAGCGCCAATTTTAACTTGGCGGACCAAGTAGTTCCTTGGTCATTTTCTTTTCTCTAAATTATAATAATAATTACCATACTATCGCATCACACATTAAATTAATTTTGTTTGCACAAGGATTTCTCGGAAGAACATTTTCAAACAGGAGTACTTTCACAAGTTGTGGCGTCAAAACGTATACTACAGCTGAAAAGATACCGTGAAACCGAAAAGATCGGTCTGAATCAGGGCTCGAATACGGACCGCCCTTATAAAATTAATACCAAAGTACAGAATGCGTGATACGGGGGGGGGGGGGGGGGGGGAGCATTCAATAAGCTGATTCACTAGTTGAAGTGGTAATGCAAAACAAGAACAAGATTTGCAAAGCACTCACCATTCCATGGAGTAACAGTTCATTCAGCTTCTTCTTGGACTCTGGAGCGGCATAAGAAGCAAACAAAAAGGCAGCCCGGGTGAAACCATTTGAAAATAGAACTACACCGGCACAATCATGAGGTCATAGACACTACAACAGGACATATCCTTCAAGTGACAGAGAGTTCGAACTTCTCCACGACAAACACGAAGGCCCAAGCGAATTGTGTGGAACAGCTTCACTGCTCCATCGAGAGATAGGTAGTGCAAGGGTGCACCAACTACATTCCATTCACAAAAAGACGAGCGCTGGTTCTGGTGGGCACCCGTACAAGTAAGTTATTTGGTGGTTTTTTCGTGATTTTATCGTACACGGTGCAGTGCCACGAAATTTGAAACTTGAAAAAGGGTCCAAAAGGTACCTCAACCGGTGTTCGAACCTGCACAATGTACCATGGCAAGTGGAGTGAAGTGGCCTGGATTTTCATGCTTTTTCCCAATTCAGTGTTTTTGGGGGAAAACCTGGTCGAAATCCTATTCTTGTTATGGCTTACTTTTTGGAGAAATAGATTTCATGAACATAATTGGAAGAGCATTCCATGGGATTGCAAAGAAATTGTGAAAAGCTCACAATTTAAAAAAGAAAGGGGCGTATGGATACAATTTTAAAAGAGTAACTGTCCACCACTGCAATTATATTATCATGTGACAGTCAGCAAAAACTAGGCATAAAACTGATATTCGACGACCCGACACCTAGCTTCAACACATCTCCGAAGCGCTAACCAACAGCCTTCCAACTCGGAAGGTTCTAGTCTAAGGTAGACCAAAGAGGGGAAGGTAAGCGCAATGAAAATGAGTACAAGCTGAAGTCCCACGGGAACAAAGAATGTTGATTGTTACTGTCACGAACCATACGGCGAAACGTACATTGTGTGAAGCTATTGTTTTGTAGTCATCTAGTTCATCACATTGTCATGCATGAGAAGTACTGTAAGAGTTCAGCGTTCGGTTTTGTACAATTCGTTTTCGCAAAGCTTCCCCTTCTTTGTTTCCGAGTTGAAAGGCTGTTGGTTAGCGCTTCGGAGATGTGTTGGAGCTAGGTGTCAGATCGTCGAACATCTCAGTACTCTGTCAGTTGTGTGCCTAGTTGTTGCACTTTCTGACTGTAGACAGTATCCAGTTACAGTGGCGGACAGTTACTCTTAGCTCGTATCCATATGCGCCTTTGCTTCAAAAGTTCAAAATTTGATCTATCAAAAGCTAGGATATCATCTTTTTATGAATGGTCGCTGTAGTGTAGCAGGCTCCATTCATCATTTCATAAGAGACCATGCACGCCATCAAACACAGTAAACCAACCAAAGAGAATCACCCAATGCACAAACACACACACACACACACACACACACACACACACACACACTGCGGCACACACACACACACACACACACACACACACACACACACACACACACACACACACGTCACACGGGTGCACCTCGTGCCCATGCGACAGAGGAGCAGACTCAGCGAGGGGTGAAATAGGAGATGTGACCTCGACATATGGGAATGTCCTCACCATAAGACGTCAGATCTCGAGATATACGTATCTCCTTGAAAAAGGGCAGTGGGTTCAACAAAGGGTTGTCACCTCGACAAATCGTTGTGACCTCGGCTAAGGGTTGTGACCTCGACAAAGGGTTGTGAGTTTGACAAAGGGCAGTGACCTCAACAAAGAGGTGTGACCTCAACATTGTCTGCTTACCTTCGAGATGGAATTGAGTTTCAGACCAAAACAAATGGTCACAGTTGGTACGTACAGTGCATGGCAATAAAGCACAGTCCGTACATTATGTATTTTAATTGAACTTCTTGTGCTGTTCAAACAAACGAATGAACAAACACTCAGTACCGTATTTTCCGGAGTATATGCCGCACTTTGAACACTCAAATTTCACCTCCAAAGAGGGGTGTGGTTTATACTCTGATGATCAACTTAACGGTGATAAAGAGGATCGATGTCTGTATTTCCTGGCAAAAAAATGGGGGGGGGTGCGGCTTATACTCCGGGAAATACAGTACATTCATTTCCCCACTTCACTATTCACCTACCCTCTCTTTCAGTTGGCTCAACGCTCGGTCTTGACGACGAACGTGCGCGTCTTGGCCTTGATTTTGACCTGGTGGCATCAAGCAGCCCTGGCTTGGCCTTGTTCCGATTCACCGCTTGTTGAAGGTCATGCCTAGCTTGCTCTGCCACATGCTTCTGTTCAGCAAGATGTCGATTGTGTTCAGCAAGGCGGGCATTCTCCTCAGCAAGACGAGTTGTCTCCAGGGCCGCAACACGATGGTGCTCTGCCTCTTCCTCCTTCAACTTCAGTGCTTTTTCCAACTCCTCATTTTTCTTCAGGACTTGTAGAAGTCTGGCCATCATTTCAGTGACCTTGTTATCCGACTGAGTGGACGGTGTAGCTTTGCTTGCGGCCATGTCATCAGCTTCTAAAGAGAACAGCAATAGTGACATTGACAAAGAGGCGGAAACATTGAAAAGAAGATACTGTAAGAGTTGAATCTCTAACGGGGTACAACGTCTAGCTTTTTAACGAGAAAGAGTCCATCGTTAACTCAAGAAACGTTACACGTACGTTATTCCTTCTCTACGTTGCACTAGAGAAATAGAAGATAGGTGGGTGCTGGCAGGGTCATTAAACTGTGTGCCCGCTTAGTGGGAAAATTGGCAAATCGTTAAACTTAAGACTCGTCATGCTTTCAACTCTTACAGTAATTATCAACAAGCCACGTTAACAACAACACTAAGTAATATAAAAGAGAGACAGGAGGCAAGAGAGATGATAGGCGAATGAGTGAGCAGGCATCCATCTGGTTAAGCGTCAAAGTTGCCTGTCCCCCGACAGAGCTCGTTTTTTTCACCACGGATAGAGCCCTTTAACTTTGGTACTTTACTGTTTGTCAGTTTAAAATGCTTTCTAGTTCACTAGACGTCATTGTGACCGGTTCAGCCAGTCACTCAAGCTATGTTCAAACAGATAGCTATCCGGAGAGTGGACAAATATATACCGGTAGTTCGAATTAGCAACAAGGATGAACAGAATGAAGACTGCGTTGCAACTCCGAGTTTTACGCATGAGGCGATCATCAGACACTAGCTACTGGAAACTCTGGAACTTTTGTGGTTTTTACTTCGAAGTAGTACTGGATAGATCCCCGTTTCTTCACAGTGCTTGGCACAAAAAAGGACACTCAGGCAACAGAGAAACCGTGCTTCAGACTGTCCAGACAGCTGTTCATCCTCACTGGCCCTGGTCTTACCTTGGACTTCCTCCACACTATGTCCGTGTGGGGGACTAACTGCAGAAGCAGCAGCAGCAACAGATGCAGCCGCCATGGGGGCACTCCGAGGCACTTCTGTAGGGTTGAATTCCATCGCCGGGAAGGGGTGAATTCCATCGTCATTACCTGCCGGCAATGATGGAGTCGTGATGTGAGGCCCACATTGTCCTGAACTAGCCATGTGCCTTGCCTCTCCAGACTGGTCACAAAGAACAACATGACACAACGACAAAGCACAAGATAGAGAACCTAGTTAGACCCCTGAAGACAGAAAACCCAGAAAATATAATATTACTTCCTCCGCGTCATCGAAATTGTCGCAGTTTGACTAGTGACTTGTCACTTGTTACTGACAACTCCATAAGCTAAGCCATTCAAAACTTATTACACAGTATGATAGTCTGAAGACTAGTGTAACGTTCCAGGACAGTTGGACTGAGAGTTTTCATGCAGAGATGAAGTCCTCGTCGTCGCTGATGTCAATGGACGCAAAAATATCGTTCTGAAATATTTCAAGGAAGGTTGAAAGTTGGTCGTGCCTCATCTCCAACGCTTTGACTTTCTCCACAGGACAAGAGCTGCTATGCTTGTCGTCTGCTAGCTCTGGATGATTTCTATTTCACCACCAACGAAGCCTAGTAAGAATACACGATCGTTGCGAGGTCGGTTGATTACCGTCGGCGGAATCACCTCGATCTTGAAATGACCTTTTTTTAGCCGTGGCATGGCCATTTTTTTATTTTAGCTGTGTGGTCACAGCTCATGCAGGTAAGTGTACTATCACGTCCAGCGCGCCCTCTTTTTCAGCATCACTGGTATACCATGGCCCGGTACCGGTACGGCACCTGCGCGTGCATCACTAGCACTACGTGTAGAGTCTACACGGCTCTTGCAGGTACAATCATGTACTGAGTGTCTCAGCCAGAGGGACAAATTTTATCGCTGTTGCAAGCATTTAGTTTGCTGACCCCTCGATGTTTCTCCAAGCGCTGCCACTTGTTCCACGAAGTCATTCTCACCCCAGCTAAGGTAAAACAGTGATGAGGCTTGAGTGAATGGCCATCAGCACGAGAAATGTGCAGACTGCAACGCCTGACTGATCTCAGCGAGTCTAAATTACCATCGCAGCGACATCAGCGAAGAAATTGCGTCTAGTTCAAAAATTCCAGCTTCCAATAACAGAAAATAGACCTTTGCCGTCACTCTATACTGATGACTATCGCCTATGTCGAATTCCTTGCCTCTGGTACGAGTGCTGGAGAGTAAATACCCCGTTTTATATAAAAAGTCAAACTGCGACAATTTCGATGACGCGGAGGAAGTATAAGAAAGTCCACACAGACACAACCGCGCGCCCCCACACACGCAAACAAACACACACAGACCCACTAATACACGACACAAAGGCTCGCAAACACACAACACACAGACCCGCAAACACACACACACACACACACACACACACACACACACATATAGGCCGGGTCAACTTACATCCGGTGTCATACATCCAAGTAAATCCTCGATATCATTGTCGGATAGTATAGGGCATTCGTGTAGGCCTGCACCGTGCGAATTCCACTTCTGCTGCTGCCGCAGCTGCTGATACTGGTATTGCTGTTGCTGCTGATGCTGCAATTGTTCCTGCTGGTGTTGTTGCTGCTGTTGTTGGCTAGCCATAGATGACTGATTGTTTATCGGCAGTGAAGCAGCTGTCTCGTTGGTAGGTACCATTCCAGTGTGTGACTTCGAGACGGCAGCATGCACCATGGAAGCATTGTTGCGGCCGGGAGGCTGACTGTTGATGAAGGCTGTGTCCAATTCATTAGGTGGTCTAAAGTTGCCCTGGAGTAGTTTGGGCAAACAAAAAGACGAGACATGGACGTGGTCAGGAAACTCCTACACCGAAAGCATAACAAGTTCATAACGGCTTCAACTCGGTATAAACTCATTGCCAAACACATTGCAATGCCCAGCCAGCTGGGCCCAATTTGGGACATGGAAACAAGTTGGTATCTCATTCAGTACTTGTTGAGCGAGTTGTTATAAACGCCCCTTGCAAGAAGTGGGCAGTTGTTCCGGTCTTCAGAGAGCATGCATGATTTCTTTTCACTGTTTCAGCATCCAGCCCACCTCTGCCCATGGACACACACATGCACGTACGCACGCGCGCACACACGTGCGCACACACACACACACGCACACACTTGTACTTGTACTTGCTCACTGCCAAAACTGGTCACGTGGGTCTCCCTGGGAGAGGGGAGAGAGACTCAAAAGGAATCTTGGAAAGATGACTCAATTGGCCATTGAACCACCCAACGGCCGACACCCCCTGAAATCCCCAAACTAGGGTGGACTTGAAATGATCCCACTTATGGGCTCACCACACCTCAGTAAGTGGGTGAGGACAAGGTGCAGAAAAAGGATTGACGGCATCAGGGTATCCGTCCCGGGATCCAACTGCAGGTACCCCTGCCCCCAGTGAAGGTAATACTTGGTACAAGTGTGAGTGGCTAAATCAGAGTGAATCTGATATAAGCTTCACTAGCACCATTGATTACACAAGAGTTTATCTAGCCAGAAGCAGTCCATGGTTAACTGGCATGTATACTTCAAATAGAAAGTATATGAACAACTATACACCTTCAAGCAGCCAAGCCCATTGGCAACAGGCCTAACACTATCTGGCATACGTGTACCCACCAACCGAACTAGCTGGCACACACACACACACACACACACACACACACACACACACACACACACACACATGCGCGCACGCACGCACGCACACACACACACACGCACGCACACACACACGGGCACACCTGTAGACACCAAGGAGCACACAAAGTACCTGACTGTTAGGAACTGGGTGAACAGAGATGCTTGTGTTTGATCCAGGCATTACAGCATGTGCTGGTTTAATCAAATGGTTGGCCACTGGCACAGTACCGACATTCAAGCTGGATCCACCGCCTTGGTAAAGACCGGTTTGGGAGACCAACAGACGCCGGTCAATTTGATTCACGTTAGGCAGGGCAGTGTCCGCATCGGATGCGCCACTCCCACTGCTTGTGTTGTTGATGTTGTCGCTACTGCTGCTGCAAGAGAATGCAGCCGCTTTCACAGCATGGACTGTTTGTGGACCCTGGGTAAAAACAGAGAGAATACAGAATGCAACAGAAACAACCCCAATGCTGCCTTGCTGGTAGCAAGGCGAAAACAAAACAGAGCGACGGATAAACAGAGGCACAGAGAGACAATGATGATCGCTCACATACGAACCTGATTATGGGTGGTGCAAAGATCACTAGTGTTGGTGGTGGTATTGAAAGCCATTGAACCATTGCCATTGGTTTGAGCATATGGTTGAAATGGAGCTCCATTCACACCACCACCATTATTGCAAGATGCAGAGCCACCCAGTGGAAGTATTCCAGTTGGAGTGGTGTTGTTTGGTAATTGCCCCTACAAGGAATTACAAAGAATAATCACACGCAGAACACGGGACAATGTAGCCTTGAAGATGCGACCACTCACAATGCCCAGCCCCAATTGTCGTCCCCTAAAGAAATTAAAAGGCATTTGTGGAGATTAAAAAAATGTATGAAACTGCACCTTCACGTGACCGCCAAAAATGATGCCAGGAACCTGTACGTCTCATGCAAGTGTCAGTATTTCGACAAGTTCCACTTCGGTGCTAGGCAGCTAAGCACCAGGCGGCTGGGGGTTGCTTTCGGTACTCAAATACCCCCTACCCCCCCCCCCCACACACACCCCACAAAAAACATTCCGACATGGCTTTAACTGATGTACCCATGCCGCTGAACGTGCTATGCCTACACCGTGAATCAGGGCTGGCCGGGGCATCTCGAATGAGTGCTCCACACACCTGCATCTGAGTGGAGAGCGGAAAAAACAATTCCCTGTGACAATGGTGACAGTGTTTTGCTGTCTGTTGCTGCTGTTTGATGGTGCTGTTTGATGGTGCTGTTTGATGGTGCTGTCTGTCGGTGCTGTTTGATGGTGCTGTTTGTTGGTGCTGTTTGTTGGTGCTGTCTGTTGGTGCTGTTTGATGGTGCTGTTTGATGGTGCTGTTTGATGGTGCTGTTTGATGGTGCTGTCTGTTGGTACTGTTTGATGGCCACTCAGCGTGTGAAACTTCAAGTTACAGTAAAGCAGTCTACCTAGCCTCTTGTATTTCCGTGCCAAAATAATGTGGCAGCAACCCCTTTATACCAGAACCCACCTCAGACCAGCGCATGCCAGTGTGGGAACTGACATCAGGGGAAAGGGGGGGGGGGGGGAGGGGGGGGGCGGAGGTTGAAGCAGTGACCAATGGATTGGCATTAATGAACAGGGGGTTGGAACAAGCAAGGCCAATGGCAATTGGATTTACCGAAAAGTACAGCGAGAGCACCGCATCACCAGGTCCTTCCCTGGTCAGGGCACTTTAAAGTGGCTTACCTGCGGGCCAGAAGATTGCATTGACATCGGCTCCAGCTCAACGTCACCAGCAATGGTGGCAAGAGTAGCCATTGGTCCAGAAGAGTAGCCCTTGTCAGACGAATCCATGCCATCCTCCATTGCCGTTCCTACATTGTCCTGCCCAAATGCAGCCCCAATGCCTGACAGTGTGTAGTGCTGACCAGCGACGTTAAAGCCGTTAGAAGCAGTGCCGGTACAGGATGCAGGCAGCGCAGACGCAACCTGGACAAGACAAATACACGATTACAGCAGGAGAAAAACCCGTTTAACCCTTTGGTGCCTGACTGAATTTTAGATTTTTCGTAGTTTTGGTTCAATTTTTTGGAAAGCCTCCGCAACCGATTAGATGATGTAGCGACAAAAGTGTGTATTCTGAATGGCAAGACACAGCAAAATCCGATTTTTGAATTTTCAAGTCAGAAAAAATTACAATAGGGTCAGGGTACTGCGCTGGTCCAAGAACATCTTGGTCGCCAACACCACTCAGCACGCCGAATCCACTACCAACCCACGGCCTCCGCCACGGCCTCCGCCACACGCGCCACGCACGCCACGATCAGCTGTTCCATCAGCTGGCTGAGCTCGACCAGCGCCGCGAGCAATTTCTCCGCGCAGCGCGAGCGGAGCACGTCCACAAACTGGCTGCACTCGCCCTCGCCCTACAGCTTCTTGAAGCTCATCGTCGGAAAATTTGTCCTCATCTGAAGAGCTGCCGTTCTCAAGAAATTCACCGAAAACCAAATCATCGTTGAGTCGGTCTTCCTCATCTGATGACGGCAGGTTTCCGTCAGAGAAAAGAGCGTGAGATTATTCACCATCGTCGTCTTCTGATTCTTCTTTTACACGGGCATCATCGGCCTCCAACTCTTCAAACAACTCAAGCGCTCCTGCAGCATCCATGACGGAGGTCAGCTGTAGTAGCCATGAACTGTACTAGTCGAAAACGAGGCGAAACAGCAACGTTTTGTTCATGTTGCGCGACACGTGCGTAGGCTGCCACGCTCGATTGACTTCCGCTGATCTGCGCGATCGTCGTTGATCACGACTCAACTTTTTCAAATGCAACCCCCTACTTTCTCTATTGCTATCTACAGGCCAGCTACTGAAGGGTCTCTGTACAAAAAATCAGGCACCTGCGATGTACGAGACTGGCTCTGTGCTCGTTTTTAGTATGCACTGTCAGCATAGGTCGAAATCGACCTACCGGCACCTAAGAGTTAACGGCTGACATTGTTGCACGATGCGGTGTAGTGATCAATTCAAAGTGTGGTCCCTTTCCCTCGCCGCAATATGAAATACAGAAAGGAGAAAGGATCGGGAGATTATGGGGTGAGAGATGATGGAGGTGGGAGATGATGGGGTTGGAAGATGATCGGGTTGGGAGATGATGGGGTGGGAGATGATGGGGGTAGGAGATGATCGGGTTGGGAGATGATGGGGGTGAGAGAGGATGGGGGTGAGAGATGATGGGGTTGGAAGATGATGGGGTTGGGAGATGATGGGGGTGGGAGATGATGGGGGTTGAAGATGATCGGGTTGGGAGATGATGGGGGTAATAGAGGATGGGGGTGAGAGATGATCGGGTTGGAAGATGATCGGGTTGGGAGCTGATGGGGGTGAGAGATGATCGGGTGGAAGATGTCAGGGGTGGGAGATGATGGGGGTGGAAGATGCTGGGGGTGAGAGATGATGGGGGTGAGAGATGATAGGGGTGGGAGATGATGGGGGTGCGGGATGATGGGGGTGGCAGATGACGGGGGTGGCAGATGATAGGGGTGGCAGATAATAGGGGTGGGAGATGATGGGGGTGGGAGATGAAGGGGGTGGGAGATGATAGGGGTGGGAGATAATAGGGGTGGAAGGTAATAGGAGTGGGGGGGGGGTCTGTAATAAGAAGAACTGCCTCGCTCTCCTACATGAGAGTGGAGGATGAGTGAGATAGTTCACCTCACAAATTGCGGAACCGTGTAAAATGTACGTTCCGGCCACATTCTAAACTTTACGACACCTGCAACAACCCCCTGCGTGTTTCTAAACTGGTCTGACCATAGCCCCCTGTTGTCGGTTGCCATGGCCAGATGGATTGTTATCTCATAGTCCCTAGCATGATGGGCACTCGAGGGTTGATGCTAAACTAGCTTATACACGTCAGAGTTGTCAAACAAATCGCTACCTGGCTTAGTTCAGCAAGCTGGTTGGTAGCTTGTTGGTATTGCTCCGTTGGTTGCTGATATTGTCGCTGCTGCTGTTGCTGTCCATGCAGCTGTTGCTGTTGTTGTAGCTGCTGCTGCAGTTGTTGTTGCTGCTGCGGCCGCAGCTGCTGCACCTGTTGCGCTTGATATTGTTGCATTGGCGACTGCTGTACATGCGGCTGCTGCTGTTGCTGCAGGTGCTGTGCATGATCTTGTTGCATTGACCATGGCTGGTGCTGCAACTGTTGATGTTGCAGCGCTGCAGCATCAAATGACTGTTCCACTGCAGGCTGAGCACCTGGAAACTGTACATTGGTCCTGTTCACACAGTCCACGAAACTTTGACTTGACATGAAGCCACTCTAAAACAACAAAACACAAACACCAGCATACAAACGCGTTTTTTTCAAAATTCAATTTTCTTGAGTTCCTCTTACACGCCGGACAGAGGGAAGCAGCAACAGACATTCCACTCTTCCCTCTTTCATGAGAGTTCTCAAATTCACATGCGTGAACTATGCGTACTGGGCACGCTGTCAGCACACGCCTGCAGCGTGTTAGTTTGTACCCCCCCCCCCCCCCCCGGGTGCTGACTCGGCTGCCCCGGCCCTGGGGTGGACACAGGACTGAGGTGTGTGGGTAGATTAGGAGAGTTGAACACTGGTCAACTATATCCTATCTCTGACCGGCCGTGGTTTACCGTGTGGTTTTGGACGTAATGCACGAACTGGTGCTGCCAAATGCCAACAGGAGAGATTCCAATTTTTCCATGAAAGGGAACAGGGGTGGGGGGGGGGGGGAGATGTCTGAGGAAATACGTGATGCAGTTGGCAAACATGTGTTCTGTCCTTCTTCTTCTCCTTCTCCTTCTCTGTCTGTCTGTTTGTCTGTCTGCTAGTCTCTCTCTCCCTCTCTCTCTCTCTCTCCCTCTCTCTCGCTCTTTCCCGCTAGCTCCCTCCCCCCTCCGTCCGTCCGTCCCTCCCTCCCTCTCTCTCTCTCTCTCTGTTTCGGAGAGGCAGTGAAACCGCCCTCACGAATAAAATACTTGACAAGCACTGAATACTGTAATTTCACACATTTTTAGTGTACTTTTACTTTGCTACTTTCGGTGCATCTCTTTCATACCTAACATGTTAATAGCTGCACATCGACCAGCACATTACCTAATAGACACTCCTTCTCCGTAGTTTTAAACATTCCATTAGCTTCACGAGCACTGATTCGCATCATCCAGTGGGGGACTGCTTACTAGTGTCTGTACCTAAAATTTCTGTTGGCCTAACACTCAATCTGCGGACAGAACTGTTCCATCATCTGTGGACTCATCAGCGCAGCACAGAGAAAATGAGGCCGAACCTGATAGCAACAGGTTGACCTAACATGTTCTTTTTGGGCCTCATACCTAAACGAATTAATGTTGAGCACCTGAAATTTCTGAAAAATTATACCCATGAGTACCATCTTGCAGTCTTCGGCATTTCAACACTAAGTCTTCACAACGAAAGTCTGCACCTTTCAGAGCCCTTGCACGAACGTAACACTTTAATAGTGTAGTCCGGAGGTTGAGGCTCAAGGCAAGACTACCGTATGGCATGTCCTTCCGCTGTCACACGAAGGAGCGGACGGAGCACTCCAGAAGTCATTACAGAAACCCCATCGGGTCATGTACATACTTCCTCCGTTAACAAAAACTTCGTGATGGATTTTGATGGATATGAAAACGCTTAGAACAGATCAAGAACAGTTTGTATCGACTGCAAATCACTGGACGAAGGTGATTCAGCCTATGTACAGCGCCTTTACAAGAGAAACTGTTGGCGGAATGAGCAGAGAGTTCAGTTTGCGTCGCTTTTGCTCGATTCATTTTTGATCTGCGTCGCTGTCGTCATCTGCTGCACGCGAGTCATCATCTGCTGTACGCGAGTCATCATCTCTCTCGAGTTGTTGTTCAGCTCGTTTCAGCCTTGCCTCGGCTTCTTTCATCACACTGGGCTGACCTTGATGTCGCCGTCGTTCAAGTAATTTGGCTTTCAAGCTGCGTGATTCGCCGCAATGGCGATTACTCGTTTCCACCAGGGAGTCGTGAAAATATTTTACGACTCCTTGGTTTCATCTTCGCTGTCTGAACTCCGCGAAACGAGGAGTAAAGGCCCAGCCAAACTGATCCCATTTTCTCTAATGGATTCCCCTGCCAGCACTGAACGGCAGCGGCTAGCAAATCCAGTCGACTTTCTTTAGCCACGAGACTCGCATCGGACAGCGGACTTCTGAAAGAATGCATGGTCATCAGCATTCGAATCTGGGCTTTGCGCAGGTTGAACAAGATCTTGAGTTCAGACTTATTTTCATTGAGCCGTGCGATCAGAGCAGCTCCTTGTTCACTCGCTCATTGTGTGGGCTCGCTACTCCGTTTCATCGCTCTCTTTCAATCTCCAACTTACTCAGTGTTAAAGTGACAGAGAGGCCAAGCAACGCAATATCCCCTCGGAGAAGTGGTATTTCAGTTTCGATCGCCATGACTGTCATCACCTATAACTATGTTTCCACAGCGCAACCATCGATTCCGCTCGGCTTGTTGTGAAAGGTCGCTTTCCTTGCATTGTACCTCTGTCATGGCATGCCTGGGAAGGCCAAGAAAGTGATTGCGACTCATTTAACGGCAGTTTGTGCCCAAATCAGCCCCTCAAAATTCCATCACGAAGTTTTTGGTAACGGAGAAAGTAGAGACTTGTGACCGTAACGGTATCCACATCAGGAGACGTGCTTGCAGTTACACACTTGTGACTAACTAAGCCACAACGAACAACGGCATAATGTATGCCTTGTTTGGTAGATTAGCATGTTCATCGGTTAATTCGGTTGTCAGGAGCACTGTTTTCGACACAGTGCGCATTCCGCCCGGTAACATGCTGTCGACCAATCAAGATAAACAAAGGTATTATCATGGGTCGTCCTCCATGGCCCGTACTAATACTACATGGCAATAACTATGCAGATAACAAGCAGCGCAACAAAAGTACCTGTCGCCGGCAGCGTGCACATGCCAGCAGTCTTCAGCTATGCAGTTCAATTCTGAAAAGCACCAGCTACGATCTGGGGTGAATTAATCCGTCCTTTCTCTTCGCAAGATTAGCCCAGGAACTGCCAGGAGTGTGTACCGCCATCACTCCAAACTTTTTGAAAATTAAATATTACATAAATAGCGCACTGTACTGCACCGCAAGCTAGTTGGAAATGATCTTTTTCTAGGCACCCGAGGTGGCAGTGGTCATATCTGTAATTATTCTAGAACCGTGGTGACAGATGATTCCTGGAACATAGCACCGTGGGGCCTGGGAAATACAACTCCGGTGGACAGTACTTACTACAAATACAATGCTTGACAGCTTCTTGTTCACTCAAGACAAAGAGCTAGAGCCAGGGGAAGAGGAGGTGTTTCGTGCGCATGCGTATATGTGTGTTGGTGAGTGATTGACGTCATGGCAGCGAGGCCGTCAGGCCGCTACACCTGCACCTACAGGCTACAGTCTGTACAGACCCACCGCCCCCGGGAGCTCACTGGCTACACAAACCATGCAAACCCAGTGGCGTATCCGGAGGGAGGGGGGGGGGGGGGGGGGGCGGGGTTCCACGGAACCCCCTATATTTTGCAAATGTGCAACCAAAAAAACATCGACAATTTCATGCGTAGGTAAGAGGACAATCAGTCATGTCGACATCCGGGCCGTCCGATCCAAGTAAGTGCAGTCATGTAGATCTACATTTTGTGCCAACCTGTTGCAAGGCTACCTTCTTGCCAAAGCATTTGGACTAATTTCGGCTCCACAATCCAGTGTGTCGTTAGTACTCGTTACTACATTGTATAATAGCTTTCATGGCTGAGGTTGTCGGTATGTCTGCTGGCTCTGGTTCCCAGTATTCAGTAGCCAAGGCCGGTTGGTAAAGTACCTCCAATTTCACTTCAAGGTACCAGTGCATCTAGTGTCTGCTTCTAGCAAAGCAGCGTGCTGTCTATATTGGTTACCCCAGCAATTGTAGGGTGTGCATAGGTAACTGTCTTGGCCGTTTTATGCCGATGTACTCCGTGTGGTGTAGACCAGGTGTGCATTGGTGATTTGGTGGTCAATTCACATGGCTTCGCCAGTTGTGTGGATTAGACAGTTATCTGGTGCAAGTCTTGATCTGTCTCATTCAGATCCTGTTCGCTATCGTTGCTATAAGAGAAAATCTGTGGGTGCACATCCAGTGCATTTGCAGATTTGCGTGCTTCTCTTGCGACGGGCGTATACATGGTACATTGTACGGTACATTTTGTACATGTCCATGCAGATCTACATGATCGTACTTATGTCACGACTACTTCGAGGAGTATGTTCATGCTGTTTTGACTCGCTAACTTTTCACACTTGTAGCGTGATATCAAGAGTAGATAAACAAGAGTGTGCAACTCGCGGATGGGTTGGCCCACGGCGGAATTTTTTGTTGACGTAATCTTTTCGACGACGCACGCACTGCGAGCATTTTGGAGAGGTTTCCCTCGTGCACTTGGCCGGGCTTTACACTACAAGGTCGGTGCCCAGCACGTGCTCTCACACTGCTCTGCGGCAAAGTCCGCGTTTCTGAAAAAAAGGTGACGTCAACAAAAAATTCCGCCGTGGGCGGGGGTATCTGCAGATTGTGCAGGAGAGATCCGGAGTTGCACACTCTTGTTTATCTACTCTTGGTGATATGTATGTCCCTCAATTCTTTGCCCATATGAATTGCTGTGTTAGTCATTTTTGTTCCTTTATTCCCTGTAAGAGCCTATGAAGAGAAGGGAAGGAAAACGTTCGTTTTTAAATTTCCTAAGTGTTCGTTTGGACTGGTGTGGATTGCGGAAATGCATGTACCAGTCAGTGTACAGCATTGAAGAATTGGAGACGCTTCCAATTTTTTCTACAAGTTTGAAGAAACTCTGAAACAGATGATTATTCGGCTGCAGTTGAGCCTCTAAAATTCGAAGAGTGTGAATCGATGACCAGTCCTTGGCTACAGATGACCAGGAAAGTGCCACATAGCTAGTACAGGGCAGTTGATTTGATTTGCGACCCAACAAGGCAACAACAGGACGAACGCTGGCAATACAATGGGCAGCATGTACATGTACAGTACTATAAAGAGAACACGAAGGACAATCAATGTTTGTTGCCTGATGATTGCGAGAGCATGAAACTTGAAGTCGCAGCAAACAAGTCTTGATTGTCCTTGTTGTTCTGTTCTGTGTACTACGCTCTGCCTCCGCCATGGTGTTGAGCACTGTCAGCACACTGGGTACACCCTCGCTCTGGTGTACAGTATTAGATAAACCTTGTTTTAGTTCACA